TATATATATATATATATATATATGTATGTATGTATGTATGTATGTATGTATATGTGTGTGTGTGTGTGTGTGTGTAGGTATATAAATAAATAAATAGCTTTCAAACTGTTGATTATATCAATTGTTATTAGGTGATTGAATCAGCACTATAAAACAATAATGAATTAAATATTACGTTACTGTTATCGATCCAAGTTGTCAACTTATTGTCATAGTAGATAATGTCTGTGATAATAGCACCCAGATGTGTTGGGTATATCCCATCAATCAGATAAAATCCAAATGCTGATGTTAAACTAGTCAGCCATCATGGAAAATCAAACAAGGGTCCGAAACTGAATGCTTACACCCACAACGTCTCAGCTTCTACTGCCTTTCACTGTCTATAGCCAGTTGTAGGAAGGCAGTTACCCTTAAGTTTCTTAAAGTAGAAATGAAACCACCCTAACATTTAACCTAAAGTTTAATTAGATTAAATATATATATTACATGCACGCATGAGTTTTTAATATCAAGCCATTTTTATAGAATGTAATTTTATCAAGCTTGCATTCTGTTAATGTAGATATGTTGTTTATTTTTTAATCTGTAGGTCATTCTGTATTATTTCATTTTTATAGGCATTCAGTAGACCTGTTTCTGGACTTTGCAGACCTGTTTCGAAAGTTACTGGTTATTCTGACTCAAAAGGTAGGTCAGGAATATTTCTTTTCTTTGAAGCTATTGTCAAAAAGTATTAAGATTTTTACACATTACATTACTTATAAACTGTATAATGGTCAGAGTTCTTGTAATGTAGATTTATGTTAATTTCATTACTAAAAACAGTATACTTGTTCCAAGCTGGTATTAGATAATTTTAGTGTTTTTATTAATTGTCATTTCTTAAAAAAAGAGTAGAGTACACTTACCTCAAGCAGTTGTTAAGTAAGTGTTTCTGTATTTTAATACTACTTATGGAAAATATTTTTGCCTATAGCTCTTGGCACAGTGGCTAACATGTCAAACTATGGAGCTTGGGTTTTGTAGTTCACATTATTCTACCCATAACCTCCATCAACATCTTGCTCTTGGTAGATTATAAATGTGATAGTCAAACCAAAACCAATTATTCAATCTGATAAGAGTAGCCTAAGAGTTAACAGTGGACAGTGTTAACTAGCTGCCTTTCCTCTAGTCTGTCACTTCACAATTAGGGGGGGCCTAGCATCGGCAGGTGGTTAGGGCACTCGACTCGCAACTTGCAGGTCACAAGTTCGAATCCCTGTCCCACCAAATATGCTCACCCTTTCAGCCGTAGGGCGTTATAATTTGACATTCAATCCCATTATTCATTGGTAAAAGAGTAGCCCAAGAGTTGGTGGTGGATGGTGATTACTAGCTGCCTTCCCTCTAGTCTATCTTTGCTAAATTAGAAACAGTTAGCACAGCTTTGCTCAAAATTCAAAACAAACAAAACCAATCAAAATTAATGATAGTTAGCTCAGTAGCTTTGTGCAATATCCAGCAAACAAACAATCTTGTATGTTACATTATTTATAAACATTTGTAAAAATCTATTTGTAATTAGCTTGAGGTTCTATACTTTTATTTATTTAAAAACTGTACAGTTGTTGAAAGCTATTTTAGATGATTTCTTGTATATGTAGTGTGCAGTGTAGGAAACATTCAGTGTTTGTAAGTTATGTCTGATGTTTAGAAATGTGTGTAACATATTGATTATAAGTATTTATTTTACAACTAAGGTGAGAGTACAGAGAGTTGAGTACATTATATCAGTAGAAAATTGAATGTGCAGATCTGAAACACATGATAACCACAGTCGATATAAAGTCACGGTGAAACGGCATTCTGTGGCATTTTGTATATAGTGCAATGTCACTAAAACTTGATCACTTTTAGGAAGGGTATGTAAACTGCCTTTTCATACATTTAGATCATAAAAATGCTTTTGGTTCAAGGATTAAACATTTTCAAGATGAGGATAACCCTTGTGCTTAGTAACATTGGAACACAAATGTATTGAACATATGGGGCACCAGGCCATCCAGAAAGATCTGTAACAAGTCATACCCCAATTATGGTAACCAAATTACAGAATCTTGTAACAGGTGAGAATCCATGAACACAAAGATCAATGGCAAAAGCCATCCACATGTCCCAGGTAACAGTACACAATATATTTAAGTAAAATTTCTATCTGGAAAAGCAACACAAGTCATTTATATACAAGTTACTTCCACAACTTCAAGAAAGAAATACAAACTGTAGGAAACTGTATGAACAGTACCTATCTGGGGGAAAAATAGTAGTACGTGGTGACACTTTACAAAGCGTATGCATATCTTAATGCCTGTAGTAAGTCTCATGCTGTTTTCTACCATTCAATAGGTGAACAAAAATTCCAAAGTGATGTGCTGGCTGTATGGAAATGAGGCCAACAAAGTTTATGTTCACCAAGAAAAGGCTTTTAGTCACACCTCCTGTTCAACTGTTGCATACTTCAAGCTGTTGGAGATTAAAACTGGCATTTATGCTATTCCACATGTAGCTTTAACAGTTAAGTCAATGCAACACTTATAAATTTCTGTTGGATCGGACTGTTGAAACAGCACTGAGAAACTGTTATTCTTGTGCATTGGATGGATTATAGAAAGCATTCAGGGAGAAGTGGTGTGCTGGACATGACAACTTTACAACAGAGCCTTTTTTCAATGGAAATTATGCTGCAGGGCTATTGTCTAGTTGCACAGTTATTAGATAAAACAAAACCAGATGTGGTGACATGGACTGTAATGAAGTGGTGAGGCTATAAAATTATTTTAATATAATGTACTCAACCCTCTGTAGTCTAGTTCTTGAACTAATTTGTATTCAGCTTGGGACTGGTTATGTTTTTTCATTATAAACTTAAAATAGGACTAGTTTCAAACTTCATTTCTTAATTTTATGGCATACCTGAGTAACTCTTTAATTAGTAGATATATAAATGAGACTAAATATATATTTTTTTATTTTAGGAGAATTCAAGGAAAACACGACAAAAGGAAAATGATGATTCTAAGAAAGAATAATGATGAAATACACGTTTTCTCTTCTCTTAGCTATTGAAGTGAACCAAACTGCTTGCTTGTGCTTGTCATACTGAATGAGAATATTTGTCTGACTTAAGCACTTCTTAACCAACCATATTTTGATTAATTTATTCTATCTAATAAGTGTTTTTTTATGCGATCATGTAATTCAATAGTTATTTATGTGTATACTTTATGTTAAAGAATTGTTAATATTAGGTGCCAGAATTAGCTGTTTATTACTTTCAAAAGCAGGAGAACAGTAGTGCTACCAAACTTGGCACATATTTTCATTCTACAAATCAACGAAAACATTGTATTTAAGAAATCAAGAGCACACAGGGAGATGCCTCGGGTATTACTTGGAGACCTTAATGCTTTCTGTTAAATGCTTTTTACATGTAGTTTGCTATATTGGTGAAAACTACTGTCAGGTGAACAGTGTAAGAAAGACAGTTAAGAAGTTCTAAGCTTTTACTGTTATAACAACATTTGAAAGAATATCTTTTTGTACATAAGGCATGGAAAGGAGCAAGCATTTTGCCTGATGTACTGCCTTGTCTTATTTTTCATATACATTTAGATGACCGAAATTTATAGGTACTAATATACCTCAACAAATATTTACTAGGCTAGTTATGTTCCAAATACTTCTTTAAAATTTGTATAACATTCTCTTTGATTGACATTAAAGCTATCTCATATCATGCATGTTACCACACGGAAGCTGGAAACCAGATTACTGTTCACAGTAAACTTTGTCATTTTGTTCTGTTTAAGTAACTGGAAAGTCTTTTAGTGTGGTGTTAGATCATTGAAAGCTTTAAAAAATATTGTATAAGCTAGTTAAGTAGTTTTAAAGTATTGTTAACATACTTTCGATGCCATTAATTGTCAGTATTGTTTTAATCATGCGTAAAATGACTGACAGAATCAACAGATGACGATCCATATAAATAAGGTTAATGTATATGTGTCATCATGCTACAAAAATAGCTTTTACATGGAATGCTTCAAATTGTTTATGCCATCCACTCACAGCTTGTATATGTATTTAAAAATAGCATTAATATAACACTTACAGTTTCTGATAATGAAGTTAGAAAATAAATGTTTGTGTGTGCGTGTATATACATTTATGTCTTTATTATTATTTAACACAAATTATTAATTTGTTTTTTACATGATATTCATCTATGTGTACATTATCTAAGTATTAAAAATTAAGTAAGAATGAAGATTTGGTAAAAGAAACTGAGATTAAGTTTTGTTCAGTAGTAGTTAGTATGTATATATATATATCTGTATCTTTATTTCAACAGTAACTTCAGGCATTTAGTATGTTTTACAAAGTAATTTGTGTTGTTTCTTGGTTTTAATAAAGTTGCTAGAACCTAACCAACTGCTAAAACTATAGTCAGATATACTAGATCATAATATACAAATAACTTGTTTTATTTTTTTATATTGTCATGATCTCTTGTATATTACATTTACTGTCCTGTCATTAATTAGTAGTGTTAAGATCTCTTAGTGTGTATCTAGTCCTATACTGGCTAAGTCAGTACTTATTTTCATTATTTAATGATAAGATTTTTTTTTTTTTAGTTTTAATGATGTCTACAGTAGTAAGGAAAGAAAATCTTGCATGTGTAGAACTAAAGAGAGCTTCTTACCAATGATTGTGGAAGAGGAGAGATAATATCTAACAAGAATGAGTATGGAATTAAGGCTTATCAATGATCTGTGTGCAAGTTAGAAAAGTAATATCTCATTAATGATGTGTGTGGAAGTTATGAAAGCTTATCAGTGATGCTTATAGAAAGAAATAATACCTTCAGTAAAATACGCTGGAGTGTAAACATGTTTCATAGAAAAGAAAACGTTTTTCCCAGTAATAAATTTATCATCTCAATGTTTTGCTTTGTGACATCTTTAGAAGGTTAAAACCCTATTGATAGTGCTAATAGGCTCAGAACCAAGGGTTGATTAAGGTGGGGTCTGTAGCCCCAGACCCAGACTCAAAAAAAAAAAAGGTCCATTATGAGGTTAAGTTTTTTTTTTTACTTCAGTCACAATCATAATAGGCCCTGGTGGAAAACTTTTGTCCTAGGCCTGTCTGACCCTTAATTCAGAACAGCCAACTCTGTATTATCTAGTAGTTGTTCTAAGTCCACCACAATGATCAATTGTGTTAACCTTTTGAAAAAGCCACAAAGCTAAGCATTCAGTTAATAAAAAGTTTTTCTTTGGGGTAATATCTCAACGTTTTATGAGGAAGTAAAGAAAGAATAACGTGTTAATGGTGTATGTGGAAGTAAGGAAAGAATAGCTTATGAATGGTGTGCATGTATGTGGAAGTACATGTAAGGGGAGAATAAGTTGTTAGTTATATGTGTGGTAGTAAGGAGAAAATATATTATCAATGATGCATGTAAAAGAATAACTTATTAATGATATGTGTGGTAGTAAGGAGAAAATATATTATCAATGATGCATGTAAAAGAATAACTTATTAATGATGTGTGTGGAAGTAAGGAATGAGTAACATGAATAGTGTGTGTTTGTATATGTAAGTGTATGTAAGGGGCGAATAAGTTGTTAGTTATATGTGTGGTAGTAAGGAGAAAATATATTATCAATGATGCATGTAAAAGAATAACTTATTAATGATGTGTGTGGAAGTAAGGAATGAGTAACATGAATAGTTTGTGTTTGTATATGGAAGTGTATGTAAGGGGAGAATAAATGGTTAGTTATACAGTGGAAGTAAGGACAGAATATATCATCAGTGATGCATGTAGAAGAATAACTTATTAATGATGTGTGTGGAAGTAAGGAATGAATAACATGAATAGTTTGTGTTTGTATATGGAAGTGTATGTAAGAGGATTATTCTTCTACATGCATCACTGATGATATATTCTGTCCTTACTTCCACTGTATAACTAACCATTTATTCGTTATTAATGATGTGTATGTGTGTAGGTAACAAAAGCGTAACCAATCAGTGATCAGAGAAGATCTGTGTTTAAAGTCAACTGGCTTACAATTTCAGAAATGACACTCTTGGTGAGGATTGACTATTCAAAATAGGTCTTTGTTCAAGTGTCAACAGATCTGTTCTACTTCTCTATATATATTTTCTCCTGTTAAGCTGACCTAGTATTCTTAAAGTTGAATAATACTTACAAAACAAGACTAGCTCTGGCTATCAAAGTTAACACAAATAAATTATTAATCTTATTAAGTAAGTATGATTTGATAAGAATAACATAAGTCATGAATGAATAAAGCTTTTAGATCACATGAACTCTAAAACTTGTTTATTTCAGAGTAAAAAGAATTTAAAGCACTATTGTTCTGTTTTGTTTTCATCTTTTTAACTTTGTACTATCCAGAATACAAATGTTATGTCAAATTTAACAGAGTTAAGACTTACCCAAAACTTTTGAAATGGAACTAATGAGTACTTGATCAATGTGTACAAAATAAGTGCAGCTCTAGCAAAAGCAACTTGAGTACATTATTAAAGCATACAAATGAATGACTTATGTGAATATATATTCAAAAGCTTGTAGAAAAAGTGTAACTCTGGTTGGAAACTATCAATGAATCTTTGATTAGAACAAATCTAATGTGACTAAAGATTACATAACAGTAACTAAAAGTATGATGTTTCATTAACATGTTATAAACTAATTTTATGTTACCTTCAGAGATATGATGCATTTATACATCTTAATTTTCATTTAATGCTGTAAAGTAGCATTTTTAAACAAGTTAGTAAACATTTCAGTATAGTGTGTGTATGTTATACATGATAAAGATAAAGGTGCTTTTTTGTCTAGTCTTTATAAAAAAAAACTAATTATACATTTGAGATAGTATTTTTTACAAAGTTTTGAATATTTTATTAGTTTTCTTTGAGGAGTGTTGTTCAAAGTTATTTTTATTTAACACTATTCAGGTGTATGAGCTGTTTATTATGGTACAGTAGGTGTCATATGTTTGGCTAAGTTTTCAATAAATATGAATTTCCAGCTGTAACAAAATACATTGTGTTGAGTGAAATTTATTGGTAGTAAGATGATTAAAAGACATTTTTTGTGCGATAGAAAAATTATAAACTAAACTTTTTTTAATAATTGTTTTGGCTTTTGAGTAGGTGTTTTATGTGGTGATGTAAGTTAAATTCATACTTCTGCTATTAGAAATCACCTCAGTACAAAGATAACTATTAGCACTAACATTTAATATGCAAATACTTAAATGCTTTATGAACAAGTGAAACCAACTGTTTTGGGAAATAAAAGGTCCATTTGCCCAAAACAAATAACACTGGTAAATGACTAGGACAAACTGTATAAAAACAATTTAATATACCTAGTAACAATTTATTAAAAAGTAACAAAATTATGTATTGAACTAAATATAGCAATATCACAGCAGTGTTATTACAAGATAAACTTTGTCCCCGACTAAGAATGGAAACCAGAAAATAAATTGTTCCATCTTTGGAATATGTTTTTGTATAAAAACAACAGGAATTAAAGTACAAAAACAGACCTGTATTTCACAAATTGTTAATATCGATAACCTGGTAAAAGTAGTATCCAGTACACAATCTTTTCATGAAATTAATAGTATTTGTCATCTCTCACATTCAGATTTCACTTCTAAAATAAATTCATATTATATAACTGGTATTCTTAACCAAAAATTCACAAATTTACACCCAGAACATTTAACATAAAATTATGTTAGAAAATATTCACAACCCAGTCACTTTTCTGGTAAGTTAATAAATATCAGGAACATAATGTAACAAGCAGTTACCAGCTTATACTTTAATTTTATTCATTACAGATGTCACATTGTTCTTCATTAAAAATGCAGCCTTGGTCATGTTTAAAAGATCATGTCCAGTGAAGATAACACACTTAAACTTGGTAAGAAGAGTGTGCCTAAAAAAGACAACTGATATGACTATAAATTCAACCAAGATTGCATGGACCATGTTTAGAAAATATAAGTGTGTGCGGGTTTACAACATTAGTTTTGTCAAGAATGAATGGAGTTAAAACTATACATGTTGACAATATTAAGTTTGACATATGAGTAGAAAAAAGAAAAAAATTTAATTTGAAGTGGCAAGATCATCTCTGTGAAAGATGAATGAAGATTAAAATACCAACTTACAAGGTTGTGCTGCTGGAAGATGAGCTAACCTTGACCAAATTTACAAGATCTGTTTTAATAGTTAAGTGATGAAAGTAAACTTAGTCATTAATATAATACAAGTTTTAGTAAAAATACTATAATTATAATAACGAAGTAAGGTGTGTATAGAAATGTGAGGTTAAAATAACAAACACAGTCAAGACTACAAGGTCATCTAAAGGTGAAGGAAAATCTTTAAAAAATGTATTTTAGTATGCTCAATATGACTTACAAGGAGGTGTTCATAAAGATGTACAACAAAATATCTGATGTATAAATTATGTTTCGATTTCCTGGTGTTTTTATTATTACAGTTAATACATAAATATTCTAAATTAGTAAAAACAAAGTTATAATAATAAATACACTGAATATCTAATGTAGATTAGTTGTTAATCTATAATCAGGTGCATAATAAAGAAGAGTAAAGTGAAAACAGTTAAGGTTACAAAATAAGAGATGTGTGAAATAGGGTGAAGTGAAAAAATTAACTACATCTAGGTTATGATATTGTCTTGTCAAAATGCATTTAAAAAACATACTTAGTCATGATTACGAGATTTCACTAAGAAGATAAACTAAGTTAGAATTATAGGATCTGGTTTAATAACAATGTGTAGATAAACTTTTTTGTTGTTTCACAAAACTGGTCTTTATAAGGAATGAAACTAATAAGTTTAAAACAGGCTTCATAACCTGATCTTGAAAAAATGAGTAACTTGAATTTTATAAAAATCATTATTAAAGGGTAAGGTTCTTAAGACATAAGTTTGTTAAATGTAACAAAAGTGTACGAAGTCGAGTGTACTATGAAAAGTGAAGATAAACTCTGATTACGATAAAGATCAGATGGAGTAAAATTGATCAATGTCAATCTTGGCCTACGACACAACAAAAAGTCTAAAACTGAAATAATTTTTATCGAGGCTACATGATTATGTTTAGTACAGATGAGCAAAGAAAAGCACAGAAAGTTAGATAAAGTTAAATTAATGGAGTATAAGATGCTGCAAGATTTCTAAATCAGGTTTAGTAAAATGACTGAAGTGCAGATAATAAAATTAGTATTAGAGGTTACAAATTTAGATCCAATAAAGACAAATCAATTAAAAATAAAATTGACCATGCTTAAAAGATCTGGTTGGTAAAGGTTTAATTGAAAATATAAAGCTGTCATGGCTACAAGATGAGGTCTAATAAAGACTGATGAGAGCTGAAACCATCAAATTTTGTCAATCTTGCAAACTGGGGTCTATAAAGGTGATGAAATTGAATACAAGTTTGGCCAAGAATACCAACTGAGGTATTAGATTGTCAACTTGAAAGTACATTCAAAACGAAACTATTAAATTCAGTGAAGTTCATAAGCTGAAGTCTAGTGAAAGATGGTGCATTTAAAATACCAAGTGCAATCAAGGTTACAAATTTATGTCTATTAAAGATTTGTCAGTTTGAAACAGTACATTCAGTCAAAGTTACAAACTGATCAAGTCTCGTTAAGATGTATAAGTTGAGGTAAACATATTAAAGAAATTACTTTTAGCTATACTGAAAACAATTCGTGCTTCCCTTATTTTCACAGAACCTTATATTGTGTACCTCAGCTGACTACTGAAATATGAGTATTTGTTTTTGTACATTTTAGTGACTTAAAAAATACTTAATTCTCTACCTTTTTATCCAAACTATTAACTTACATTTTCTCTTACCGACTTTCATTAAATTACTTTCTCAATTTATGTCAATAATCATGGTCTGTGGAAAAGTTTACTAGCTGTTATGGTTCTCTTCTTTCTGAAATTAAGGATATAAAACTTTTTTTTTTTAGATACCATACTTTGTCTGGTTTATTTTGACTTTTTATCTGTAATCAGTAGTTTATCTTCTGTTTTTTCTTTTATATTTTAATGTACCCAATGATTAATCTTCTGTTTTATTTTCCTCTTCTTGTATAACCAATGACTGATCTTCTGTCTGGTCTTGATTCTCCTTTCTAGATAGTGAGCAATCTTCTGTTTTCATTTGATCTATCTGTGAAGCCGCTGATTTATCTGCAATTTGATCTTGATTCTCCTCTCCAGTCAGTTGTTTCTCGTCTCTCTTGAGTTGATCTTTTTCGACAGCCAATGATTTATCTTCTGTATTGTTTTGATCTCTAATTACACCCAGTAATTTATCTGTTGATGTTTCATTTTGACCTGTCTCTGGAAGTAGTGGATTATCATCTTTCTTGACTGTATTTATTTTGTGTTCTGTATTTTTTGTGTGCATATTCTTATTGTTTATTTTTGATTCTGATGGATGGTCTTCTCCTATACCATTGTTTTTTTCTGTAGCTACAGATGTATTGTTTCTATCTGTGCCTTTTTGAGTTGTGTTTTCATTCTGATCTGCAAATTGTATATAAAACTAGAAATTAAGAAAAACTTAATAAACCAAAATGAATTACAACTTTTCTAACATAACAATGAAAAATAACTAAATGTCAGTATGTTTAAATAAATGGAAAATAAAACAAAATCATAATTTTTACTTTGTTCAAAATGAAATATATTTAAAATATCTACACTAAGTTAAATAAACAATTTTTCAAACTGATATCTTAAAATAATTCATGGTTAGTATATCTAAATAAGGCTTCAAACCTCGTTATAAAGGGACCTTTCTGTGTTACTTTTTGTCAGTGTCTGATTTATTGTAGAACTTGTTAGATCCATTTTAGATGATAAAAAAAAGATGCAGTGAGATTTTACTACTGTAAGTACAAATAAAGTAAAATAATTATTTTAGTTCAGCTGTTTTGTTTAAAAGTATATACATCTTAATGAAATGTGACATGCAATACTGTTGAATTTTTTACTCAACATTACTAATAAATTTGAAAGACAATAACTCTATGTTACCTAGAATTTTGCGACATTAACTCTGAATCCTACATTTCTAAAGTTAATATATTCATAAATAATACTTGTTGTTACATTAAATCCATTTTCTCATCTAGTGTTGCTTCTTAAACCAATTCTTTCCTTTGTTAAATCTCATAAAGTAGTTTTTCTTGGATCTTGAAATAATTTTTCAGTTTCATGTATACTTACCAAGGTGTTGTTGAAGAATATTTTGTTGCACTGTCATATGTTGATTCTTCCAAAGAGGAAAACAAAGCAGTTTGTACAACTCTTAGATCTGCTTAGATTGAATCAGTTGAACCTTTTCTTCCTCCTCCTGTTCAACACAACTGGTCATTAGATGATGAATAAAGACATCATTGAAGCCTGTTCTCAAACCTCTATTCAAATTCATACTCCAGGCAGTTTCTTTGATTTGTTCCTTAGAATATAATTTAACAATTACTTGCTTTTATTTTTATTATTCATAATCCACATGTGTGATCATACATAGTTTATTCCATTGTAGATTGGCTCAAAATACTGTAGATTGATTAATGAATGATTAGCTTTTACTCATCATGTCTTTTCTGAAGTAAAACAGAATGAAAACTTTTCAAATCTAACCATTGCCCTGCTCATCTGGCAGCTTTCATCAAAACATTTTATGAATGTGCCCACATGTCTTCTTTTAAACTGTAAATTTCTGAGGTTCTTTCTTTTTAGGATATTAATTGTGAGACAGGTTCTATCTCCTTTGGGAATAATGTGGCCTCCTTTTAAGATGAATATGGTCAGTAAGGACAGGTCATACTTGTTCCTGTATGTTTATAATATTTTTATTCTATCTAAACCTCATGGATAATTCAATCACAGGGCTTGCTATAGATTCATAATTTACACTTCCCTTTCATTTATTCAAGATGGAATCTGTTCATTTTCCTCCATGGTTGTCCCTTCTGTGTTAATCTTTGCATTGGAATATAACAAACTTCAGGCTTTATAACTACTTTTATAATGTATTCTGTTGAAACGGAAATCTTCTGCCTTAATAGCAGGTCTTGTGAGTCTACCAGCCCAAAGCATAAGATCTCAGCATTGTCTCCTTCATTTCATCAGTTTGATGAATTTTTTGTTTCTGAACAAAGCTATATCCTTCTACATTATAAAAAACTTAAAAGGTGGCTCTTTTTATTGTTGTTCCTTTTCAGGTCCTTTGCACTTAGACATTGTTGCTTTTAATGAACTATTTAATTTATTTTTCTAAGTGAACATCAATAAAACTCAAATTTGAATTTAGTAATAAAAACTCTTTTTTTTTCACCTCCCCCTCAACTACTGAAATCTTATGTTGGATTATCTTTAGGAAACCCACTTTCTCTTTCTGCATCAAAATGCCACTGTTCTAACAACTAGTCATTGATGAATCCCATATTCTATTTTCCTAAGATTATTTATTTATAATGGCTGGAGACGGCTTAAATGGGTAATGAAGAAAAACTTTAATATAAGTTTAACATGACAGCAAA